GAGAGAGAGAGAGAGACGAGTAATCGAGACGGGAATAAAAATTCTGTCACAAAATAAGAAGAGGTTTCGCCGCCGGAACTTCTTAACCGCGCCTTGTTCGATAGAGATAGACAGCTGGCGTGGAATCAGAGGTGGTTTTCTTTTTCATACCACTACAATTCTTAGGTCACTCCACCACAATCGACGAGGAAGGCTTTACGAAACGATCGGTCGATCGAGGCGATTTGCATCGTTGACGCCCTAATTAGGCGGAGCGGCGAAAGAGCGCGATATATCGCAATTGCAGCGCATTCCGCGCAATTTAAAAAGAAGTGGCTCGATGTGTCACAGCGAAAGGGTCAACTGGGTCCCTCCCCCCCTCCCTCCCTTTTTCCTCCTCCGGGTCTTGGGTGCAGATGTGCCCTCGCACACACACACACACCGCCACGTTCGTCATCGAGCCCACATCGAGCCGCTCCCCCGCAGCTCCCTCTCCGCCAACATCTTTTCTTCCTCCTCCTCCTCCTCCTCCTCTTGCGCGCGGTCGCCCTACTCGCGGGCCCCGTATCTAGCGTGTGTACAATCTGACGGAATGCTGGATAAGCAGCAGTCCATTCACGGTGACGCTGACGCATACACACGGTGCCCGAGCCACACCGTTCGCGCCGGTGGTCTCCGAGAGTCGGCCTGGTCACCCGTGGAACCGATCGCAATAATCGAATTCGCGAGCCGCGGTACCACTGTCCGGTACACTTTGAGACGGTTCAAAATAAAATTGGCGATCCTTTTAACGCGAATGTGAACAGTACACGGGACAAGAAGGGTCTCTTTCGGGGTGGCTTCTGTGCGAAAATCGGCAGAAAATCGACCAAGTGAAGTTCTCGCTAGCAACTGGAGAGAAGAAGCAGAACGAAGCGGAAAAGGAGGAACTCGATTAATGATGGATTGATATCAAATTAAACTTGTACTAGTCACTTGTCGGAGGACTGCGAGACTCCGGCGAGTTAATTGAATAATTAGACGATCGGATAGAAGAACTGTCTTGTCCTTTCAAACAGTGCTGTTGGACAATTCTCAGTCCGGCACGTCGTAATGCGGCCATTAATAATAATAACGCACTGAGGAGAAGAAGACTATTTCTTAAATCGGACGTACTTGCCATACTCTGCGGTCAACAAAAGTCAACGGACTTGCCTTTGGCTCCTCGACTACCTGTCTCGTCAACAAACTTATGGCTAGTCTGAGATAAGAGCAACCTACGGGCGGTGAGTGACAACACACCTTTTAGCTTATAATCTTTCCCTTATCTACTTTTCTCATTCCTAACATTTACAGCATGTCGATTCAACGATTAAAGTTTCACGAAACCGATTTCCGTAGAACTCCACAAAGTCGCATCTTAAAGGAGGGTGAAACGAGAAAGATAACTGCCCGCGCGTTCGGCCAATTGGCTCTTTAAAAAAATTACTTCGCTTGATCGTAATCGCGGTTTTCACTTGTGCGAGTCCTCCCGACCTCAAGGGCGGCGTCGGTCTGCGATCTTGAGGGACCAATGCCGAGAACCGGACAAAAAAGCGTGGCGCGAGTTACGATGGTCCCGAGGGGCAATTTAGAAACGTGACGTGGAGAGAATTATGATGCATGGTGTAGCATTCAATTAGCTAGGTCGTACCGTAAGCTAATGCGAAAGTGGACCTTCGAATAAGTACTTATTGGACACAATTATTCGAATCCCCGAAGTCGACTAACAATAATAGTTCACGAAACCGTATCGGGGACTTGTAAAAGTCCCGCGGTCGTTATTTCGCTGCGACATTTGCGGTACATAAGATTGCTTTTCTTCCCTAACAAATTGCAAATCTCCATAAACGCAGAAGTCTCCTTAAGTTGCCGGTAATAGATAACCGAGACGTGACCTCAGTGGTCCTCGAATTCGCGAGGCGCCCGCCCAGAGGGAAGGGAGGGTCCCAGTTCAAACCCTGGCCGGGCTAATATTTTTCGCAGTAAATTTTCTGTGCGTTGAAACACTGGCCGGTTAATGTCGACCGAAGAGCTGGACTATTGTCTCCATAAATGTGCTCTCGCGAAGATGAATAATTGTGAAAAAGCGTCGCGCTTTCAAGCGAGTCGACGACGCGGGTATTTCAATACTATCCGGCGTGCAGCGTATTTGGCGCTAAACGCACGGTATGAATAGCACGACACATGTTCCGTGTCGTACGTGCAGACATTTGACATCCACACCACGTGGTGCTCTCGTGGGCGGGACACGAGAGTTGTCGCGACTCGATCAGCTTTCAACGGTCCCACAACTCGCGCGCACGTATCTTTTCGCGCACTCGGCATTTGCCTCTTCGTACCTCGAGATCATTCGCCGTTTACGTCAAAAGAACACGAAAAGTTCTCACAAGCGCGCATAATAATTCATGGTATTATCACTTATTCGCTTTTGCATGCTCCGGTGAGTTGGTCGAGACGTAATATTTAATTTTAAATCGCCCACTTTTCAATTGAATAGCAATTTCGTGTAGTTGGATTTGATTTAATTAAATATCTGCTCGTTCCTTCGGTAAATGAAACGCACTTCGAGGCGACGGTGTATCGGCGTGTTATCCGGTGTTAATTTATACGTTGACGGTGGTAAATTGGCGGGTCTCAGGCCGGAGTATTACACGGAGTATTGGTATAAGTCTCTGATAAACGTAAATCCGCGGGCAAGGTTTAAACGCGCCTTTGACCGAGGAGGTGCAACGCGGCGCGAATCGACGACGCATCGACGATTCGCGCCGACTCGGCCTAGGTACTTTCACCGTGACTCAACTTGACTCATTCATTGCCGTTCGCCGTATGATTAACGCGGAAATCATTTGGTGACGTCAATTCGTCGCCGAGGACTTCCACAGTACGAGAAATAATGTTTCACGCCGCGTCTTCCTCCTACGGCGAGGAGCCCCGATTAGCTTCGCTCACTGAACAAATATCAAAAGTCAAGCACGCCGCTTTAAAGTCGGATGCTCGCCACCTAATCGGACCTGAGCCAACAGAAGTTTGTTGCCCGACAAAAATGAAATGGAATGAATTTTTTAAAACTCTACTAATGTTAATTCCAATAAAACCTATTGCCATTATATGCAGATTTTTCGCTCGCGTCAATGTGACCGCAAGTCAACGACGACGAATGTTGGACTTGACGTACATTGAAGAACATGAAGTTCAAAAATTAATCTCTTCTTAAGAGGATGCTAAAGTCATCGCTTTATAAGTAATTGTGGTTAGGCTTCACATGCTGATATTTTTAATTTCTCTTCGTTTTTTATATAAAGTCGTGAACCCCCCCCCCCGCTTTGTTTTTACGCGTACTGTAATCGCATGGAAGAATTTTGTAATTTTATAAAGCCAAATTCAAATTGCTCACGATTAAAAAGTCGAAAGTTTCAAATATCAATATCTTTCTCATTAGACTTCTGACCCGAGTGTTTCAAGTATAAAAACGTTCTGCTATGCGGTCCGCAACTTATCCTGGTATTATTTTAGGCGTAAAAACTAATAAAAAGATTCAGCAGCGCAAAAACTATATTCGAATGTGTCGTTCTTTTTCTGTCCTGTCATTTTTCAAATACATTTGGTTCAGTTTTCCCAGACGTTTTTTTTTGGGGGGGTGACAATTAATTATTCGGCACGGCTATGATAGCATCAAGTGTCTCTCGACAAAATGTATAAAACGAGACGCAGTCGGCGCGACGCGTTGATGCGTTCCCATGTCTTCCGCGGCTTTCGTCGCTTTTTTTGTCGCGAGGGGACGCCTAGTACCGGGTGTCCGTTAATTTCCCTTAATTAAGCTCAATCGGGGTTAATGCACCGCAGCTTGACCCCAGTTTACCAAATCCAACGCACCCTCCGTAACTGTGCACATAGATCACGATCGCGTATCGATAAACGGGATATTTTCACGGCTTTCCATTGCAATTCCCGAAATTCACGCAAGCCGTGCGTGCTTTGCAAATTTATAGAAGATTTTTCGAAAATACTCTGAAACGAAAGCCTAATGTATTTATATTAAAACTAAACTGCGTAGTACGAAAACTACAGAAAATGAAAAAGCTACAGTTACATTTATTAACTTCTTTACGTTTAATTAACAAATTACATTTATTGGTAATTAATTTCGATAGGCAATCTGAAGGGAATGTAATAAATCGCGGTAAGAATATCAGCGCTAAGAGTAATTATTGCAATTGCAAGGAGTACGTGGCCATTGTGAGTTTGTAATACCGATCGCGTGTCGTTACACATATATGTTTCAATAACAGAAGTGACTCATGTACCCGCAGACGTTAGTAAATTCAGTTATTCAGACCGGCTGCAATCGAGCGGTCGGAGGGATAGAACGAGAAAGATAAATCGCACGGCTTATAAATTCTCAGGTCCGCGTAATCGACATGTGAATTCGAGTGACTGAAAAACAACGTGAGACATCTCGAAAACGCGGGTCGAATGCCATTTACATACATCTCCCAAACAGGAAACTTGTTTCGCCTTAATTAGTATTCGTAATTAAAAGTAACATACGACGGGGACTTCCTCCCGGCGATCATTAACGTTCATAATTGTCGAACATCGCGCGAAACGAATATAATCGCGGCAAGAAGTAGGTCGACGGGATTTTAATTAATCGCAGTCCGCGGAATTGATTTCGGTAATTTCTCGTAATAACGAAACGTTGTCAATCGAGAGAAAATTTTGTTAGCGGCCAGGCGCGCGCTGAGAAAGTTTAGCGTGGTATCGTTCGTCGCGCGTGTCTCGCATTGTCCTCCGTGAAATTTCTCCGGACGACCCATTTCCGTCGGTGGCGCCCTTCGCCACGAGCCCATAAATAATAATAAAATCCTTACCATCTGTCTTTCTAAACGTAAGTCGTTCTCCGGCCATTGTCTACGACGGTGAATTATTTTAACGCGCAGAATCGCACGCGCGGAATTTGCATAACGCAAATGTCAGACGTCCCACGCGTCTTCAGACAATCGCTTTCGCGGATCCCTCACTTCGGGTCTTCGGTGACTCTAGGAGTATCGTGATATTCGTTTGGAAAAGGTGTACAGAAATTCGGCTGCGAATAAAGAAACGAGCATAACCACGTGTCGCGTGATGTCATTACGTCTTTCTTGATTACCGACAACGAATACATTTTTCATGATAATCTTAGAATATTGTTCTTGAATTTTACGTTCGATTAATCGATTTTACAAGACTGTACATTTTAATCCGATAATATCCTTCAATTATAAAAATTTTGTTCAATAACATTTCATGCTCTTATGAATTTAATGAATCGCGTTAAAATGATTAATCGGACGCTACACGAGCATTCCTTTGTTGCATTTGAGGAAACAGTTTTGAAAGAAAATACGTCACATCCGCTTTGCGTCAGATATCACTTCGGACAAGTGCGCCGAGCCGGAATTTTAAATCGCGGTTTCCTCCTCGTGGGAATTCCATGTCTGTCCCTTTCGCGCCCCGCCATAACGTGGCAATCGCGTTCCCAGATGTGCCAATTATTATCGATCAGGAGGACACACATTAATATTAAGAACGCCAGTGTTTCCTTGACCTGGCATTTTTAATAATGCAGAAAATTTATTGCGAAAAACATTACCTCAGCCAGGGTATGAACCTGGACCTCTCCCTACACTCTAGGCGGGCGTCTCACCGATTCGACCGCCGAGGCACGTGGTAATATTATATTTGTCGCAATAACAGCATAAAGATGCCTATTTTTCGACTCCAAACCGCGCGCCGATTAGGGTTGTCGGTTTTTAAGCTGAGGTAATGTTTTTCGCAATAAATTTTCTGTATTATTAAAAAATACCAGGTGTAGCCAAGAAAACACTGACGTTGCTAATTACCGCTGGCGACATCGAAGGATTTTCTGACGAGTTAATATTAATATTCGTCGGATAACGACAGAATAAAAACGTCGATCTAGGGTCGAGGTGTTCCGGTCCTGTTTTCGCGTTCGTCAAAACGTCTGTGCACCAAACTGCGAGACTTAGTCATCCGCTTTAGTCATCCGCAAAGGGGAACGCAGGTCGAATATTTAATTCCATTCTTCCGCTCGTGAATGCCGCAGGCCTTCGAGGTCGGGTCGAGGCCGAATGGAATCGCTGGACCGGAGCTTCGACACCTTCGGCACGGCCGGCATGATGGACGGCACGAACACGTGGTTGCCGCGCGTCATGGACAACGCCACGCACAGCACCATCGTCAGCGCGGAACTGTCGAGGTACAGTCGTTCTTTTTGGCGAAAACGCGACGGAATCGCTGATATTCCGGTCTCACATTCCTTGACCGCCTTGGAATCGATTTTTATCCCAACGGAATGGCATTGTGTAATTAAATCGCACATTGATAAAGTATGAATCAATTGTTAAACAACGCACGAGTTTTATACTTTTATACTTATATTAGCTATTAAAATAAATATAGCTGTAATAACGAGGATTTGTCGTTCTGACGATTGTCTTGTCTGTCGCAGATTTCCGAAGCCCTTGAGGACCTTCGCGGCAGTAGTGGCGATCATCATCATGATTATTGGTCTGGCCGGCAATCTACTAACGATCGTTGCCTTATGTAAATATCCCAAAGTTCGCAATGTTGCAGCGGCCTTTATCATAAGGTGCGACAAACCGTTTCATTTTCTTTTAATTTTGCCATCGAAATTCTGTACTTAGTGCTGCGTACAAGTAGTTTTCTTTACGCGCATATTCGAAAAGCATGAATTATCGGGTTCGTGCAGATAATCTCGCGCGAACGTATCGTATCGTTCTATCGCAGAAAAGAAAATTGACTCCTAGATTTTGCATCTTTTAAACGTAAAAACACAATTAAAATGAAATTATTCCGTGCCACTGGAACAGCTTGTGCATCGCCGACTTCGTGTTCTGCCTGTTGGTGTTGCCCTTCGATTCTATCAGATTCATCAACGCTGGTTGGGCGGACGTACGATTCTTTTGCGTCTTCGTGCCCTTCTTGCGATATGGAAACGTCGGCGTTAGTCTCCTGTCGGTCGCAGCAATTACTATCAACAGGTGCGTGTTCTAGTGTTAAAAGGCTCTCTTCGAATTTGACCAAGTCTGAGCAACGGGGTTAACACACGACGAAATCAAAGTGCAAGGGATTTTAATTGAAATTGTTGGTTTCGTAGATACATCATGATAGCGCATCACGCCATTTACAGCAGGGTTTACAAGAAATACTGGATAGCCACGATGATAGTCTTCTGTTGGCTGTTCTCTTACGGGATGCAGATACCTACTCTGGTGGGAGTGTGGGGTAAACCGCTCTTTAAATCATTATTTAATTATTTCTTAGCAAGAATATTCTTCGATGTCGCCAGCAGTAATTAACAACGTCAGCGTTTTCCTGAACGTATCTGGCATTTTTAATGATACAGAGAATTTATTGCGAAAAGTATTACGCCCGCCTAGAGAATAGGGAAGTCCAGGTTCACAAACCCCGGGGTAATATTTTTCGCAATCAACTTTCTGTATTATATTAAGATATGGTCAAGAAAACACCGAAGTTGTTAATTATTTGTGATTGGAGAAAGAAACTTCGACGGATAAATCTCGGTGAAACTGCAAGTTTTTGAAAAATAAGCGAAGAATATTAATTATTTAACAAAATAGTTGATAAAGCTGCTATGTTAAGCTCCCAATATTGACACAAAGATGATACCACAACGGAATAAGAAATTCGAAGTTATATATTTATGTATTTGTTACATTTTTTGCGTTATTTATTCTTCATTTGTGTTTTATCAGGTAAATTCGACTACGATCCCAATCTGGAGACCTGTTCCATTGTCAAGGACCGCCACGGTCACACTTCCAAGACATTCCTTTTCGTCATGGGATTCGTGATCCCTTGCCTAGTGATCGTCGGCTGTTACGCCAAGATATTCTGGGTGGTGCACAAGTAATTGACATTTATCGCGCTTTAAACGATCTTTTCGCCTCGATTGCGCCGCATTACATTAATATATTAACTGCTCGAAATTTAATCAACATCGCAGGTCAGAATCGCGAATGCGAAAGCACGCCACACCGACGATAAAGTCACCTCACACGCCCGGAAGGGACATTAAGGAACTGAAACAGAAGCGCAGCGAATGGAGGATCACGAAGATGGTACTGGCGATCTTCCTCAGCTTCCTCGCGTGCTACTTGCCGATCACGATCGTCAAAGTGGCCGACGCGGAAGTCAGATGTCCCGGTAGGAATATAATTTATCGCTGGGTGAAATAGCATTTTGTAGGACCGATTTTTCCAACCTCTTGGTAAGCTAACTAATAGTTAAACTACATGTCTATCTTTTTGTAATTTAAAGGAAAAACAAAGACCTACGTATGACTTAACTGTTAGTCAACTTACCGAGAGGTTGCCACAATCTCTGTCCATAGTCTAATGAATCTTCTCGTCGCATCTTTGTCTGTACCAGACTCGAGCATATCGGTCTCCATTTCTGTCTTGATTCTCTTGACAAACCGGCTCGCGTCGTTACGATATTCTGAATTGCATTAATAAGAAAATAAATTTATGAAACTTTCTCTTCCCTCCTATTACGTACGCGTCTACGTGATAACCGCTTGATTCCAGCATCGTCTAAACTATTCGCGGTTTAACCACGTACAGAAAAAGCTCGACGACTCTGTCAACTATTGTCACTGAACGAGCGTTGTCATGTCAAATTATTTCAGAGTGTCACATTCTGGGATATCTGCTGCTGTACTTTGCGTCGTGCGTAAACCCGATCATCTACGTGATCATGAACAAGCAGTACCGGCAGGCGTACGCCGGCGTGATCGGCTGCTCGTGGCTCAGAGCGAGCCTAACGCCGTACGGCAGCAGTGCGCCGGGTGGTGCCGGCGGTCTTCAGGCCCATCAGCATGACTACGCCCAAGGTAACTTCGAGCAACGACACGCGGTAACGCTCACCAAGCTCTGACCGGGCGCGCGAGCTAAGCGACGACTCGCTCACTTCGTAAGTCAAGGGCACCACAAGTTTGCCGCTTTCTGTTCTCATCGTCGCTATTGGTACCAGCCTTGGTATCTGGCCAGTCTGCGTGTGTGCGTCTGCTAACGTCGATTAATCGCATTCTCCTTAAAACGTTGATTTTCATTTCTGCTCAGCACGCCCCTAACTCCGTTCGTCACGAAACTGACGAGCCAAATGAGCGATGTCGCCTGGACTGCTTTCTCACCTTCGTTCATCGTTACAATTAACAACGTTGCTAACCAAACCTTCATGTTTTTTTTCCTCATTGCAACTCGCTGAAACAACGTTGACTTAATTTGTTAATAAACATAATTCTAACAATGAGTACAGTTCTAATTTTCACGCGCTACAGTTTTCAGTTGTTAACTAATACTAAATTATATTAACACTTTAATTCGAAATTTATATGAAAACGTACTTTATTCTTTTCCGAGTTTTATGAGTTATATATTATTTATTATATTGATACTATATAAAATAGTTTTGTCATATGTATATTTTTCTCTATACAAATACTTCATATTATTTTACCATACAAAGTATATACATCCGTATATTTCAAAGTCACTTGCTTCTCTATCATCTCTCTGGCAATTGTCTCTCTTTGTGCATCCTATACAAGACCGCGAGGGTTTTCATCAAAATGCAGCTGTATTTTGTTCTTCGACTAGACTACTCGAAGGACTTCGGCAAAACGATGGTGTCGACGGTCTCTATCGCTATGAATCCCGTGAGAAGTTCGCAATTCCAGGAAGAGTTGTGAGGCTAACGTCGAGAAAAATCGCACGCGAGGGAGACGTCTCTCGTTATGAGAAGAAGGGAGAAATGGAAGAAGAGAAGAAGAAGAAGAAAGAAACTGCCCCTGATAACAGTGCAATAGTTGTCGAGCTAGTTTGCATAGGTTTTTTTACCTCGTCTGCAGATAATAAAAAGATGAAACGTTTTATAATTATGCTATCGTTGTAGAGCGAAATACTATTAGAATGTCGGATATTGCATATGTATTTAATTACCGAAACATTCGCGGAATAAACACAAAGTTATTTTCTGCCGGATAATGACTTTACGAAAATGATTTACCAAAGATTGTCATGTGTCGCTGTATTTTACAATAAAATACGAACACTTCGCATTGCTTTTTATTTGTTATAAGTCAGTACGCGTATAATGTTCTTTCTCATCACTATAAATTTAAATTTACTTTCCAGCATTATTTAGCACCGAATCCGCTACCAATATTTTTATATCAGTTTTATTGAAAACTTGTAACAGTCGCTTGTTCCTTTATCCGCGAGGAGATTATGAAGAAATGGGAATGGCTCGACTCGAATTTAATGACCACATTGACATCATTCGACACCGAGGAGGAGATAACGGAAATGGTTAGCTGCAAAATTTAATTCATAACAGCAAATTGCATCCTCGATTCTCAGTTTGCAGAATTATTAATCGTTATTTAACTTGTACTATCGTGTGGACGTATAAATTGAGTAGTATTCTTGTTTGCAGAGTAGTCTTTTAAAACTGTGTCCTTTAAGTTTCATCAATTGTTCAATAGACCCAACGAGGACAAATTGGTCAATAATTATTCATGCAGGTCTTTAGATTTAAAATATATATGAAGATTAAGTAAGAATATCGAGTACATTTGAAAGGCAAGTCTTGCGATGGTTATATTTTCCTTTTCAGTTATTGGAAATTACGTTGTTATAAATACTCTTTTGGGAATAAAATTATACGTTTGTGATAGAGACGCAAATGTCGGGCATCGTTGGCAACGGCATTTTTCACTTCCTTGTCATTTCGGAAAATGTGAAAAGTTTCTTATAGCTTGTTACTTTTCACAAATACTATTATTTCAGATTTAATTAAGGGGAAAATCTTAGTACGTCGTGATACTTGTTATTACGTGTGTAATTTGTTGTGTAATACGTAAATTCATTAATAGAACACTGTGACACATCAGTAAATGATAACAATTACGCCGGTAATGATAATTTATCGCATAAAACAAATGTACCGCAATATGTAAATCTTTTAACGATATATTTTCGTAGCTTCATTTTGCCGTTGCAATCGTGCTCGATGATCTCCCGATTATCTCGTTCACGTTGACTTACGTGCACCCTCGACAATTTTCAAATGATCAGCCACGTACGCACGCATCGTTTTATTTGCAGCAGATGGATTTTTCGCGATTCGACGAGCTCTCGCGCCGCAATCGGATCGAGTCATGTATGCCGTTGTCGATTCTCGCGCTCAGCACCTTGTCCACCAAATAGCGTATCGCGGCATCTGCAAATTCAGAGATAACGTGCAATCAGTTTTCAGCTCACTGCTGTCTGCATCCGTGAGGGACAACCGTGAGTTTCGCCTTCAGTACATAAAGTTCTGAAGGGAGTAAATATGAAAAAACTTTGTACGTTACACAGAACGTAGTGATCTCGATTTCTGCTACGTGTCTGACGACTGTAACAGTTCGCATCGCGACGGCGGTGTAAGAAAATAAGCGCGCAGAATCAGCACACACGTGCCTACACATTTGGGAAAGACTTCTCTTTATAGGAAACCCTCTCTCTATAAAATCTATATCTCTTTTAACATTAATAACAGTTAAAAGTATTAATAATTATACTTTCTGAATATAAATAACAAAGATAAAATAGGAAAGAAACCGTTTAACATAGACGACATAGATGAAAGTCCTCTATTACGAGATGGGATTCTAATATGAGACAGTAGGTCCTCAACGTCCGAATTCAATCGCAAATCTTCTCTCGCAACGATTACACGATCTAACAATCTATTTTCCACTAAACAGATTTCACTTCAAGGGCAATAAATTCGTGGTGGAACCACAGGACGATTCCTTCTAATTTCGGATAATCTAATAGGAATCTAATAGGAAAGAAACCCTGCTATCTCATAATACTGAACTTTCCTCTGTGTATAAAATGGGAGAGGCAATCTGAAGAATCCGATGATCTACCTACCGACGTTGGTGTTGTTCTTTGCGGAAGTCGCGTACCAGGCGTTTATCTTGTTCTCCCGACAGAACTTGGATATCTGCTCGTCGGTCACGGCGACCGATATGTCGCATTTGTTCGCCAGGAGCACGACCGGTATGCCCGAGCTGTCCGGTAGCATGACCTTCTCCCTGAGATCGTTCAGCCACTTCTTCATCGACTGGAAGGTCGCCGCGCGTGAGATATCGAATACGAGAGCCGCGGCCACCCTACGCGCAAGTCGGATCAATGAGCGAGATCGGCAAGTTAAAAGAAAAACAACAATTAGGAGATTAATGCGACAAATGAAAAATCAATCGAAACTTTTCGATCGGCCAATGAATACAATTTTGTGTATTTAAGTTTGTCTTGACGAGTCAGCGCCGTTAAATTTTGGAGCAAAACATGTCTATTCGTGATAATGGGCGCGTTTAATACGGAAGAAAGAAACACAGTTCGATCACGGATAAGAGACTAAAGTCATATTTACGCGTATTTATAATAGACCCTCGTCATGTATCCGAATCGCTCGTGACCGGCGATGTCCCTGGAATATCGAGAATCAAATTATTCAGTCTTCGTGCCGTACAATACCTTGGCGAGATTAAGAACAACTCTGCGGAGGGTCCCGCAGGGTAGAGTTCCTCTAATCGGAGTCCGCGGCCAATCGGCCATCTTTTGAAGTTTTACTATACACTTTACTAGTAGATTAAAGACGATTAAAGAAGATTTACTAGTAGAAGAAAAGACTCTCATAAAATTCTTCGAAATGCCACGTTGTCCCACGACTCCATGATACTCGGGACAAATTAGAGAAAATTCTCCCCGTGCGCCCGTTGGCCAGACTCTGATTAGAGGGACTCTGCCGCAAGGTAAATGCGAGACCCTTACGGAGAGAAAACACTCAAGTTTTGAGTGTTAACACGCGATTTTGTCCGAATTTACTCTCAAACACCCAAATTTGACAATCGAGTGTTAACACTCAAACCTCGAGTGTCTTTTCCGTAAGGTTCGAGCCCCTCCCTAGAGGGGACAATGAAATAGCAAGCGATATAAAAATGATGCGTCTGACAAGTACCATAGCTGCAAGTTTATTTTAGTTTGCGGATCCCAATCGAGCGTTTTTATCGCAAAATCGGCGCCTATGGTAATCTTGTAATTCGAGGAGAACTTCCCTGGAAAAGACAGGTTTCGAGAGTGTGCGGCGGTGAGGTGACGTTCCGGATTTAGCGGGTCTCGTGATACCGCAGCTGTGCGGTATGTTCGTGACGCACGTATCGTTAAAACGGATAAGCCGGTTTGCGCGCATTTCTTTCTCCCTTCCTTTCTACGAGCGCGCGCTCCCGCAATCTCCTCCCGCGACATGAGATCGCGATAAACGCGATGTGACACCCAAGACTCACAATCGGTAGGAATTTCTTGCGGGACGATTGAGATAAATTGCGGATCAATTACCTTCCGTGTATCTTCTCACCAGCGCAGTTTTGCCTAAAATAAATAATTTCCGTGAGATAGATTCTGTGCAACATTGTTACGGGAGGATCTACTACCCTTACGGAAAAAAACACTCAAGTGTTTGAGTGTTAACACTCGATTGTCCAAATTTACTCTCAAAGGGCGTAAACACCCAGATTTAAGTATTTACACCCAAATTTGAGAGTAAATTCGGACAATTGAGTGTTAACACTCAAAACTTGAGTGTTCTTTCCGTAAGGGTATTCTCCCTCTAGAAAGACTTTGCATTAAATTCAGTAACAGAACTATCCTAGTAGCACAGTGCATGGACCAAACTTCGGTTAAACATTGGCCCAACATTTGGTTGTACCGAGCCAATGTTTAGCCAACGCACTGTGCTACTAGGGTACGAAAAATTTCCTCAAGAACCTGTTCACAATTTTGAGGCTCTACAAATCTCCCTGTAAACGATCTTGCATTAAATTCATTACCAGAAGTACGAAAAATTTTATCAAGAACTTGTTTACAACTTTGAAGCTCTACGATTCTCTCTGTAAAAGATCTCGCATTAAATTCAGTAGCAGACAAATTTCACGAAGAACTTGTTTACAATTTTTTCACAGCCTCGCCAAGAGTCATTTATTATGAAATTAGCGATAATCGATAAAGCCGCGGTGGAGATGACGATTGAATATTAATAAGCGTTTATCTTATCTCTCGTAGGAAAAATTTATCTATTTCTGCAATTTGAGTCTGGAGGGAGATTCAGCGAGAATCCCTCCGCGACTCACCGACGCCGTAATCGCCGATGACGAGGAACTTGAAGAGGTGTTCCTTGTGGCCAAAGTTAGACAGGACGACATCCGAGTCCCTCCTGGACCCTCGCAGGGTCATGCTTGTCGCTCGCTCCGCTCGCCTCATCGCGATCCGATCGTCTCGCAATACACTTGGCGAAACACTGCCGATAGTGCCGATTCCCCGACGGACAACAACGATAAACAGACGAAGACGAGCGTGACGGACGACCCCGCAGGTCGTCCACCGCCTCGCTCCCCTCTCGGTCAGCACATTGGTATCGGAAATCATACTCTCCGTTATCTTCACGTCGCCGCAAATACGCCGCATTTTTGCTCGCAATCTTTAACACGCCGCATCTTCGTGCTCCGCGAGCTTAAAATAATTCTTTAATCCTCTAGGTATCCGCGGAAAAAGTCGCCGTAAACACGGCCGCAGACGTAACAGAGGGTGGGAATAGATTCTCATGCTCCAAACAGCGTTTCGTAAAAAGTGCAGGCCTTTATTTCGCGCATACACCTCTTTTTTTTAACGAGTAACACGGCAGCGATTGTTGACTTGGATCGAACCTCCTCGGTTCCTGTATCGCGGCGGCTGGGTAAAGGCGAGGGCCAGACATCGCATACAACACGCGTATCGGTTTCCTAAAGTTCTTTGGAAGATTAGTCGCGACTCAATTTTTTTTTCCGCTCAGCAATAAACGTGCGGGGATCTCAAACAATAAATAACGATTAGACGCCGTTAATAAATAACGAGATTAAGCGCTATATCCCGGATATGCAGAGAGAAAACTTCCGCTCTCGCTCCCGTCCTTGTCCCCCACCCCGAAGACACGGGACGAACGCGGAACGCGTAAAAAGATATTATAAATAAATAAATAAATCGAAAAGGACAGAGAGACACAAGGGAGCGGAAGAAACAAGAGGGATACGCTGATCTGCGCGCACCACGCAGACGCATTTTTTTTTCTCGGTCGGCGATTTGTCCACAATTTCTCCTTTCTATTTTTTTCCCTGTGACGTGTCTTTCGTTTAATTACGTGTACAATATAAAATGTTACAGTCACGCGCGACGGTGCCAGCGCTGGGATCACAACTCGAATTTGTTCGAAAGTTGGAGGTGAACGTATTAGTTTTTTCTTTCCTTATACGCCGTTTTTCATCCGGATGCGACATGTTGCGATCTCTGTTCCGGGAAATCCTCGACGAGTTCTTCGAGGAGTAACGACACAATTTGCATTGTACACTTAATATCGATACGAGAAGACCGACGCCGTAAACGTCATAAATTCTGTCCAGTTACTATTAAGAATATAATCCGACGAGTATCTATATATATATGCATATATAGATATATATATACATATATATATAGAGACATTTGCGAGGCAAGTTATGCTAAATTCCGGATATCGAGTCGAGATCGAAAGCCGAATGTAATCGCAGTCGCGGTGTTTCGGAACTCGTATGTTCGATCAAAAATGTGGGATCTTCATGACGAGAATTGCACGATCGTCCGGCGGCCGCTCCGACGCCGAGCGGCCGACGATATCTCCACAATCACTAAATCAACAATGATAATCATACGAATAATAATGGTAATGATAGCGCTAATAGTAAATAGTAATAATAGTAATAATAGGTAAATACACAGTAATAATAATTTACATTTACACAAGACTCTTCCTCCTTATCCGCGAACAATTAATTATATTACCTAACTATATACGACATGCTTACGGTTATATTCATTCATCTTTTCGCAACATGATACAGTCTCTATTCAACCGTAAATCTCAAATACCTCGTCTGCGAACAAGAATTAAATCGCCCCACTCTTATTGTAATCGAACCTTATTAAAGGCAAACTCGATCGACTTCACGTCTCCACGTTTTTGAGTCACGTTTGACTTTAAACGGTTTAATTCGCGAGCAACGAGGTACAAGAGAGACATACACGCACGCATACACACACACACAAAGATGATTGAAGAGCGCATGAATACAAAAGGTGATTCGAGCAATTGTAAAAAAATATACAGAGGCGAAACGCGTAACGTATAAGTTGATGGAGGATACGACACGCGAGTCTTCTATTGTCGCAAGGACACCGCATCCGTGTATGCAAGAACTTTGAATTCGTGCAAAATGAAAAGAAACTTCGACGATGTGAAAAAATAATTCGACTACTTTTAACCGAATAATGAATGATACAGAAGAGTACGCAAAGATATCGACAACCATTCAATTTAAAATCAATGAACGCGCATAATTTTGTAAGCCAAGCCATATTGGCGAGTGAGAAACGATTCGAATGACACCAAGGATGACGCTCCATATTTTTTCTCACGGAAGTCTTCTCGCATATCGTTTTCACAAACTATCGTCGCTATCGTCGGCATGAGGCTCGACCGAGACGTTTCCAGCAAGTGGCGCGGCACTGCCTTCCCTGCTGGTTTCGATGTCCTGTTCCATTGAATTACTTTGTGCTTGCTGTTCGTCTATAGTATTTCAAATTATTTTAGTTATATAAATGTTAAATGATCTCAAATTTAAAAGCTTTAAAGAATTAACATTTTTATACAGCTGCCGTTATGTCTGATAATCGTATACCTGATTGCGTCGGCGGAGAGTCGTCATCTCCTTGGCCAGGGCTCAATATAGCTTCCTTAATTTGACTATTAACACCTTTCGGATCTAAATCAGTTGCCCAACTAAAGTACATCAACGCAAGATGGGTATTGCCTAATTTTTTATGCACCTGTTTCGCAAAAAAAAAACCTCCAGATATATTTATGCAAAGATACATCAGATGAGGAATTTCGTTCAATCAACTGATCTCTTACCTTTCCTATCGAATAATAGACTAGAGATTCTTTGGGTATAATATTCTTTAGCTCCTCGAATTCTCTTAGAGCTTCCATGTGTCGACCAATGGAGAAGTTGATGCTCGCGCGATGGAACTTGCACAGAGCGTTATCCGGATTGTTAATTAGCGCGGTGTTCAAAGTCTTGAGCGCCTGATCGGTTTTCTTCAGGGCGTGTTGCATGACACCTATGTGGCACATCAGCGTAGAATTCTGCGGATTTATTTGTAAGGCCCGTTTAAAGTGTAATTCCGCTAAACTATATTGTTCCTGTTTCGAAAATATCGTTCCTAATCCAAACCTTCAACAAGATGGAGAACAAATTTCACATATAGACTCGGAGAGTAATGAAAACATAATGAAACATTATGCTGATACAATTCTTTACCATGCATTGTAATGCCTCGAGTCGAGTCTGATGGCGTTACGGAAAGCAGTAATCGCTTTATCTAGTTCCTCAGTCAAAACGTATTCGTGTCCTAGCAGCGTATAGGCGTACGGAAAATTAGGATCCACCTAACAGATGATCAGGGAATCGTGTGTTACTTTCAATTAAACGGAATAACAATCGCGTATGCGCTGTAAAAATTTTATCGTGCCGTAACCAACGCACAGTACCTGAATAGCTCTTTGGAAAAATTTAATCGCGGTTTCGTGCTCCGTCTGCGCCGAGAAGAGATTACCCGTGGCACACCATGCTGCCGCCGAATTACGGTCTTGGGAAACCAGATCTTGAGCAAGCGTAGACAGCTGCACCTCTGCATGCAGATGCCACAGAACAGTGCTATAAATCTCCATCAATTCTGTCCTCTGTGGCTCCAATTGTCGCACTTCGGCGAAATAACTTTGCATGGGGAAAAAAAGTAAGCAAACCGAATTAAAAAGGAATTCAAATGTATCAGGAACAAAAGCTCTAATTTCGGCTGCACTTTCTACTCGGTTCTTTTGCCATTTTCTTGCTCCGATAAATACATTTTTTTTTAATAGCAACATTTAATGTACAAGCTTATTACCTAGCAGCCTTCTTATAATTTATCATTTCGAAATGTGCACGAGCCAGCATAGAGAGTACCCAGCCTGTATTATAGTGCTGTGTCGGCAGTACACTTAGTATTTCAATCGCATGTGTACATTTGTACTGACTCAAGTGCTGATACGCCGTCCCCAATTCTCGTAACAAGGACATCAAACCCTCTGAAAAATTGCAGACAAAAACACTCGAAACCATCCTGACGACGGAACTGATCGAGTAAATGAATTAAGTCTAAATAGCATACCTGCCGATTGCTTTTGCAATGTTATTCCCGAATGAATATTATTATTCTGGGCGTTGAGCGCGTTCGCGTTAGCCACAGCTTTCTCCGACGTAATCGTTTCGCTCTTCTCCTTTTCGTTTCTATTCCTCTCATTTAACTCGTTGAAATTGGCCTTGTTCAAATTCGCCTTGGCCAGTCTCGCTTTCGTCTTCCGAGACGGTGACTTTGGAGTCGCAAATTTATTCCTATTGGGCGATTTATTGTTTTCCTGAAATGTACGCGACATAACGAATTGTCGGCGAATACGATAGAACGAGTGCAGCTAGAAGAATCGAAGAACCGTACCTTTACGGAATTGTGGCTGAAGAGTCGCGACGACCGTCTAACATTGGTGCCCTGAAACGTCGGTGACGGGGGTGAGGTCGGATTAGCCGCTGTCACTGTCACAATATTGGCAGTATTGCTCGTATTCCCCGACTGGGAAAACACCGATTTGCCTTGTTGCAGCGGCGTTTCTTTTCTCGACATCAATTGCTGAGAAAAGCACAAGCGTGAAAACGAATCAAGTCGCTGTGCGACACCGATACAACCGAAAGATCGCGCTTACCCCCACATGAGCCCTTAGACTACTGACTCGTTTCGCCAAGCTCTTCTGGTCGTTGGCTTCCGTGAGAGTCGTATGCGAGGGTGGAACCGCCGGCTCGGGCGTATTGTTTTCCAGCGGCAAGATACCGAAGCTAGGTGTGAGCGGGCTCATGGAATTGCTGAACATGCTGCGGTAACGCGACACCTTGGTCCTCGGCGATATCGAGGAGCAATTGCTATAGTGAATCGGCATATTTTGCGGGCTGTCCTCCATGGAGGAGCACAGTCGCACCTGCGGCAACTGCCCGCCATTTATCAGCGTTGACGCCGTCGTCACGGGTGTACTGCAACGCGCGAAACAGAGAGTGTACAAATGAATCGCCGCACCAGGGTTGGGCAAGTTACTTTATAAAAGTGTCTAGTTAGAGTTACAGTTACAGTTACAAGTTTACAAAAAGTAACGAATCGTTGCTTTGCAGTTACTTCCTTGCTATCGTACCGCGCGCATGTCAGTACGTACATATTAGTGCCGTTCGATATGGGTGTATTGGCGTTATTTCCAGGTACGATCAGGTCCGGTTCAGCGACGTAGCTGAGCGTGGACACAGTACCGTGGCACATGGCGAAAGAATCTAGCTTGTCCAGCTGAAACACCTTGGCGGGATCCACCTTCTCGCCGACGTTGCAGAGCTCCTCGAACGAGTGCCAGAGGAAGGGATTCAATTTCAGTGCCAACTTGTGCGCCTCGTTACCTCTCGCGGTGCGCATCATTTTGTAGTAAATCTTGGCTATTATCTGCAGGGAGAAGCACGCCTGTTCCCCGAACTGCGTTATTATCTCTTCCAGGTTCTTCAACTGTTTGTAGTACCCGCCGATTATCGCAGCCTCCGCCTCCGCGTACCTGAGGATTTTCACCAGGGGATCAAGACGCGCTCGCACTACGTTCGGCAGCGGCGCGCGCGAACAATGTAAAACATCCGAGCGATCCCGCTACTTACTTTTCCAAATCGTAACAACATTTTGCTAGCAGAAACCTACACTGCGCCGAACTGGGCGCCTTCTGGGATAACAAGGCATAGGCTTGCCTAACTCGGCCGGAGCGATAGTAACATGTTGCCAAAAGAAACAAACTCTCCTCCGTGTCCACTGTAATAATAACGTGACGACAACGTGTCAGCATGTATGCATATGCAGTAAATTATAAACTTAGAGCAGAACGGCTGTCTTAAGACAATGTTTCAAGTCTCCGTCTCAAGTCAGTGGGCACGCGATACTATTTTTCCTACCGAATTTCTTGCAAAAGCCAATAGGACGCAGGGGCCAAGCCCCGATTGGATCTCTCGCAAGAAATCCAGTAGGAAAAATAGTGTCGCGCGCCGTTGGCTTTAAAGAAATGCACGATAACAATACGCTTTGTCTTAAGAGTATCAAGCCTCATCGCAAATGTGCTCTTTGCGTCTAGAAACATTCTATTTTGTATAAGCAATCGAAACGCTTAAAGAAACTTGACAATGAGCGATTGTACAATGTACAACTTATCGACTTGTGCAAACCTTTTAAACGTATTTCTTAGATGCAAAATAGGACGTTTCCAGGCGCAACGAACGCATTCCACTTTATAATAAGCAAGTCAAAATGCTTAAAAAAACTTGTCGACAACGTACAGTGTACACTATACAATTTAACGACTTGCGCAAATTTTTCAAACTGGCATTTACTGGCTACAAAATAGAACGTTCCCAGAAAACATGCGTGTTCTCTGGGTTTCTCGTAGACTAGGCTTACGAGCCATTCTGCCCAGGTACTTATTCTTGCAAGAGCCGTGCGATTAAATCGACAAACAGAGGATGGTCTTACCTTCCGCACACAACCGTTCCGCCAGGAATATAGCGTCTGGATAAGCATAATGATTTAAACAATGCCATATGGCCGCCTAAAATTGAAAAAAAGCTCAACGTTTATCTCGGCGACTGATTACGCAATAACAATGTGAATCGTCAGCGAGGATGCGAGAGCGATAAACGGGGGGAAAAATGACACGCGCGAGATTATCGGGGGGGGGGGGGGGGAAATGTGCGTAGCATACATTGCCAACGATACTTGCACATACTCTCGGTTTTCAATACGTTGGAAAAGTATAGGCAACTTGATTATTGCACAAGTGATGCAACGTACCAGTGCTACTCATTAGTCTCTAAACTTTAAAGGTGTTGCTTTCAATTAACCCCACGCGCAGCAGCGCTGCATAATTCCGGAAACGTTAAACATCGCCTCTGAATCACCCAAGACTGCGCACAAATAATACATACGCTCTATCGCATACGATACCCCCGGATAACGAGAATTCCTTTCTACAGCACGCGCATACATATCTGCGTTCGCCAGCGTAACTCGCGAACGCAAAGCGACGGGCGAATTTCTCAACAATCTGGCAGGCCGCGAGGGGATCCGAGCCCTACGGACACGTTGCTCCCGCACCGTCGGATTCCTCGGGCGACCCTCCGGGAAAGATGCACAAGTGCGGCCGAGTCGCGCGCTCATCTCCGGCCGGGGCTCGCCTATCGCGAACGTGGCGAGCGGAGCCGAGGGGCCCCGGTGCGCGTGCGGACCGGCGGACAAGGAACGGGCCGTTTTTCAGGTGGACGATCCCTGTCCTCGTGGAGGCGATCGTCCGCCGAAGGTCGCCCGACGCGAACGTAGCCGCGCGGCGCATACGCGAGGTGACGTCGACGCGTGGATGCGGCCCGATAAACAAAATCTCGCATGTCACAGCGGCAACGAAAGAGGTGCGACGGAAAATCTAACACTTTTACTTTGCACTCCTTCTCCTCTCTCTCTCTCTCCCTCTCTCCTGCTCTCCGTTCCGTTACCTGCACTGGCTCCTGCACGATCATCGTTCACACCCCGCGAGCGTGATCATAAAAGAACGTCCGGCCCCTCCTCGGGCGCGCCTCGGTGAGAATTTAACGGCGGAATACTCCCAGGTTCCACGGCGACGACTACTCTGGCGTGTGTATAAAAATCTCTCAGGAGTCCATCTTTGCTTCGATTCTTTTGAAGCGAGCGACTGCTCGCACGGGTCGCCAGGGTCGCCAACCGCGCCGCACGAAGGGGGGGGGGGGATCCGCTTGAGTTTCGCTGGCGCGGTTGGCAGCGGGGCGAGGACCAATAGCAGAGAGAAACCTGAGAGCGGCCACCCAGGTACCCAGGTAGCAACCCAGGTAACAATGGCCGCGTTCAGCAGACACAATTGTTGTGTGAGCGCTCAGTATGATTGGCTAATACTTTTAGATCCAGCCAATCATGTTAAGAAATCATTGAGCGCTCGTTCAACAGTTGTGTCTGCTGAACGCGGGCAATGTTTCGAAACGGAAATCGTTGTTACTTAAATTCTAATTACTAAGATTAGAGATTTTACCTCAATAGTTAGTGCATACAAATGTATATTTCTAAATTGCATATCTTCATTTAAATACAATGAATCTAAAAGAGAAGTGAAGCACACCGCACTTCGGGAAAACTAATCGGCATCGTGGAAAAGAGGCCTCAACTGTTCGATATTAACGTTTGCTCTGTTAACATCTCTCTTTTAGAAAGGGATTTGTATTATTATGTGTATATTATTATGTATATACAATAGTTAAATAAATATATGTAAATATGTATTAACTCAGTATATACATACATTGCATGTAATATATGATTAAAGTATTATTCAGATTGATTTTTAACATAGTATTTATACAACAATGTATGTAATCGAAATGTTAAAGACTGTTTACAAATCTTTCAGGAAAAATATATATTTAAAAGTCTGGGACAATTTAGAATTCCTCAGAATATCCCAAATATTGCTTTTATATATTGCTTTTATATATTAATATAAATATACACAAAGTATTATTGCATATATTATGCAATATATTATATTGCTATGTTGCTGTAATTATTACATTGTAATATTTCTGAAGGCGGACATTTTACCGTTGCTGCACGATTGCAGCAGCGTTGCAGCAACATTTTGCAGCGTTTAGGCAATGTTGCAATCTTGCGATGAATTATTGCTGCAATGTTGCTGAAACCTTGCTGTGCTGTGCTGAGTTAGCTCAGAGAGCCGAGATGCAACCAATTCCATCTTAGCTCAGCTAATTTAGTATGAAATTTTATAGTAATATAATCCGTTCTTATTTCAAGATTGTTGCCTTAAAAAATGTCTCCAAGATTGTATTAATTTTCCGCTGATCAGTGGGAACATTATGTAAACGCAAAACTAATAACAATAATATAAGAATTTGTTGCTAATTGGTTGCTCTCAACAAATAAATTAGAATTAATTCGGAGCATTCTATAAGTTTCTTCGAAAAAACGTTGTTCCGTTGACAAAAGAAGACAAGTTAGCGGAACATCATACATAAAGGAAAATGTAATGGTTTAAGAATTGGCTGCTAATTTATTGCTTTCCGAAAATATTAATTAGAATTAGTTACGAGCTTTGAACGAGGGGCAAGCAGATCGCGAGAAGCCGGAGGGCGACACTCCTAACGAGTCGGATCTGACGCAAAGACACAGGGGAATTATTCGGGGGATCTTGCGCCCGCGCTCATTGAAGGCAGGGCCGACATACGGATGGTTTAACATCCAGGCGATCTAGCACCCCGAGTCGATTACCACCAGTACGGGCCAACTTTTGGCATCGAACGCGAGAAGTGAGAGATCACCAGGGTTGTTCAGAAATATCACGCGAGCGCAACAGTGTATCGTTTTATCCTTGTTTAACATTACGGTGAGCAATAAGGATAAAATGATACTCTGAGGTACTCCAGTGATGTTTCTCTAAATGTAACCCAGGCGTCTCGTAGATAAGGACTAGGTACGTCCGTGTGCGAGGATCGCGACGGCCGCGGATCCTGCGCGAACTGGCCGGAATAACGCGCAGCGATAACGCGCAACCCCTCTGTGGAGGGGTTCGGCCGTCGATCGCGCATCGAGCAGCACCTCGCTCGATCTTTCCTCTCGGCGGACTCTGCATGGATAGTCGTGGTGTTTCGTGCCAATCCTAGGAAGATCTCCCGACACGCGGTCGCGGCCCGAGTGAGTCAAAGGCTGTTCGGGAAGAAAAGTCGTCAAACGGTGAGTTTGATCCATATTATATATTCCATTTCAATTACGCATTTCAATACGACGAGCAAGTTCATAGCAGAGTTGCGTTTCCGCTCGGGATTGGAAACACCATTAGGCCCGGTCTACAATGAGTCGTTAGTCGTTAGTCAGAAGTCGCAACTATATGTTGATCCTTTTCCTTTCTGGGTGGAAGAAAAAGGACCGACATGATAGTTCCGACTTCTGACTAACGACTAACAACTCATTGTAGTCCGGGCGTAAACAACTCAAGATTATATTCAAGGAATTTTGAATTACATGTAAATTTCTGCAAGAACATGAACAACTATCGACTGGAAATTAAAGTAAGGTTCAAATAAGGACCTTATAATATTTGCCTGATTTAGTTATCGGGAACTGATTATATCTTTTTATCGGGACCCGATTAAACATGTATAACGCTCTGTTTCCCTATGCGGTCTTTACAAACTATCACAATCAGGTCATAATCAGGTCCTTGTTAAATTATACGAGGTCTTTATAAAAAAAGTATATAAGGTCATGATCAGGTATCATCAAGTATTATTATTACTTACGAGAAGATCCATCATAAATACTTTTCTTTAAATTAGTTTGTGCAGGTCTTACAGTTTTTTGTGAGTTTATTTTTAAATATTTTAAATCATTTTTTTATTTAGTTACACCATCTACTTCACTATCTGTTGTAAATGCATATTTTTTATCGTTTAATTTTTTTAATTTTTGTTCTGCCTCGGTATATGTTTCTAGATTAATAATTTAAATTTGCATTAATATTATTTATAAATATAATTAAAAAATAACGTAAGAAATGTTCAACGAGAATAATGTACAGGGAAAAAGTTGTATGTACATTTAAAAATACCTTAAAAATACCCAGTCAGGTCCTTATGATATATCAGGCCAATTTCCAGTCGGGTATATACTCGTATATACATGTATGTATTTATTGAGATATTGAAAATTTTTTATTTCTACTTCTACTACAGATGTATACACAATGTATTCTTATCCAAGATAGATTTTCACTCTTTGTTGCAAAGCACACATTTTTCCAAAAATTTTGAAATTTATATCTTCTAACAAGTTATCCTACAATTATATAAATCTTGTAAATTGTTAATTGAAAAATATATCAAGCTCTTTAGATAATTTTGTATCCAGAAACTGCAATTTGAAACTTATAAAATTAACTAGCAAGCGCTATAAAATTGTCACAAGACGCTGTATTACAAATTTTCTATAACTTTCTCAAAGAGCTTTAATTTCTCGTCTTTTTATATTTAATGTCGATATGCTGATAATACAGATTTTGTCTATATTTTCAATATTATTTGCTCAATAGAACATTATTATTGTCAAAAATCTGTAGTATATAGAAACCCATGAACATACACATAAAGAAATGCTTAGTGGTAGTAATGTAATTTTTTAATTTATAGGTACTACAAATTCTGGCAAGTCTTATACCTTGCAAGGGACCGCTACTTCACCTGGAATTATACCACGAGCACTGGAATTTGTGTTTAACAATATTACAAGAAGACCAAATCCATTTTATAAACCTGTGCATTATAGCGACGTTATCAATCTTGACGCACTTGAACGTGCACGAGAGCTTGAAGCAAAAACTAAATTGCTGACATTCAGTTCCGTAGAGGAGCATCAGTACTTAAATACCTACAAACAAATGCAAAAATTGTTGCAAGAAGAATCAATTAGCCCCAGTCAGTGTTATGATGCTCATTACTCAGTTTGGGTTTCATTTGCGGAAATCTATGATGAAATTGTATATGATTTATTGTCAAATGAATGCCAGGAAAAGAGGATACCTTTGAAATTAGTAACGGACTCTAATGGCAGAGCCTTTATAAAAAATTTAAAGACTATTTATGTTAACTCGGCGGCAGAAGCTTACCAAATCTTGATGGCAGGGCAATATAATTTAAAAATAGCCGCTACTGCATTGAATGAAAACAGCTCAAGATCTCATTGTATATTCACAATTATATTGTTAAAATATTATGCAGAAAATTTACCAGATAGCGTTGAAGTGTGCACGTATGTATTTTTCTTCCCCTTTCTAATATTTTGTATTTATATATATAATATAAATTATATATATATTCTCTTTTTTCTATTTATTTTTCTTAATAAGTTTAACAATGTTTTTATTTGTTTTATATAATTATGAGAAAGAAACTAAGATTAATTTATCTAAAGAAACTAACATTAATTTATCTGTATCATCAGAATCCTAATACTTGGGTATTTATATAGGTTTTCCTTTTGTGATCTGGCGGGCTCGGAACGTTTAAAGAAGACGTTGAATATCGGGGACAGATTGAAAGAAACGCAAAATATTAACACTAGTTTACTAGTGTTAGGCAAGTGCTTAAAGTCCATCCACGAAGGACAATTGACAAGAACGAAGACTGATACCGTGGGACCATTCCGAGAATCAATATTAACCAGATTATTCTAACGAGCATTATCGGGGAAGGAAGGATCTCGCTTTAATAGTTAACGTCAATCCTCTGCCAAATTTGTATGTGGAACCAAAATGTTCTAAATTTTGCTGCCATCACAAAAGGAATTATTATAGAAAAGAAGAAGCAAAAGAAATCCAAATCAAGATTTTCCCAAATAGTCAATCAAAGTATGCACACTGTGACCGACTGGGAAAACGCAGAAGTGGAAAGTGAGAATTGGCAGTGTACAAACAGTGTGTCCATTACTTCGGAAGAATATATGGTCTTCTTGCAAATGAGAATGAAAGATTGAAAAAAGAGATTACTCTTTTAAAGAATTCAGCTTTAATTCAGAGTTTCAAAGACTTTGAAAACCGACAGGAGATGGCCAAGAAATACATTGCGATGATAAACGAGCTGATGGTCATTTGGAAACAGCGGGGAAATTATGTCGAAACCCAACACGAAGACGTCCTCGAAAGGATTGTGAAACAAGTTGAAGAATTGTACAAGGAAGAGTTGAATTATTTGTTGAAGAAGCCAAAAAGTCAAAGCGATTGTAATGACGATGATAACGTTGAAGATGATGACAATCTAAACTTAATTGTTAAAATAATAGAGAGATATGGATGAGCATACTTGCAAAGGAATCGCTGAAATTATTTGACGACTCGTTTAATAATTCAGTCCTGGATGTGAAACTCATATTCCGCCGCCTCCGCTCGTGGAATACGATTGTTTGTTACATTTGAAATCCAGTATGATCCCTAGAAGATTGCAAGCAGTCGACGCATCTAGCAAAGCCAAAATAGTAGATCTACATCCGTACCATTCACTTAAAAAGATTCCAGTCATGGATTTTGATCCTGTACAATGTTTCTTGAAAGATTTAAGAGTAAGCATCCCGATAATTTATATTAATAAGTTATTAACAATTGAATCTACAAACTGTCAATCTCATTAAATTGCATCGATGCACTTTCAAAAAAGAAAATTCATATGCGATTTCATTTAAATGCTACATATATAAATAAATGATTATTATTATTAAATATCAAATATTTCGAAGCATTGTATTCTATACTGTCTGTTCCGTTTTCAGGACGGTTACGGGGACTATGCCTTGTTTTTCCATGATACTTATGGTGGCTCGGTAATCGGCGTTCTGTTGAAACCCACCGCTCTCGAGCGTAAAGATTTCAAAGTGTCGGACACCGATTGCAGGAAACTCGACGCCGATGGCAAACTTATCTTAAACATTTCAGCGATGATCGAGGACTTTTACACTCTGGGGAGAGGTATCGTACGCACGATCGATATTCCGAACAAAAGACTTTCCTTGACGTTAAGGGTCAACTACGTAGACGCGAAAGGATCCCGAAGATACATCTCTATTTATTATTATGGAGCTGTGCTCGTTTCGCATTCGCCCACTTCGAGGACAATCTATCGTTCAGATAGGGTAACGGTGGGAAATTTGTTTATTTAATAGAGGGGTCTTCCGGGATGTGGCCACTCTGCATCCATACGATGGTGTACCAAACTATTGAGTGACGCACCATATGGTTTCATAAAATGTAGTATACTTTTTAATTCAAAGGAGTATTACTACAACGTTAAAATTATCGTTCTTATAATTTAAACAAGATAAATAATTAAAAGTAATGGTATGCATATTTTATTTTATTTTGATATATAATTTTTTTGTGCACCATTTGTCAATTTACTAATTTAATTCTAATCTCGAATTAAAATATAATAGAAAAATATAATTAGAATATAATTTATTAGAACTGCAATGCATTAGAAATTTACCTCGATCTGCGTTATTTCGTAAGCTAACAGGAACAACAGTAGAAGACAAAAATGTTGCCGATCATTTTTTGCATTCAAAAGTGCACGGCAAGCTCGCGTCTCATATACACACGGTATGTAATAATTTGTTTGTGTGTGTGTGTGTGTGTGTGTGTGTGTGTACATGAGACACGAGCTTGCTATGCACCGTTAATTAAAATTTAATCTAATAACTTTGACATGATACAATTGTGTAACGACTTGGAAATTTTCTTCAGATAGAGGAAGCAGAAGATTGAGAAGTGGGAAAGCATGTATCGATAAACGATCTGCACACAATTTGAGGCAAAGTCGTGATCCGACATGAAGGCAATCATGTATATATTACACAAATCTATATATATATATATATATATATATTTATATATAAATATAAATATAAATATATATACATTTGTGTATATATATTTATATTTATATATAAATATAAATATAAATATATATACATTTGTGTAATATATACATGATTGCCTTCATGTCGGATCACGACTTTGCCTCAAATTGTGTGCAGATCGTTTATCGATACATGCTTTCCCACTTCTCAATCTTCTGATTTTTTTGATCGGATATATGTTTGTACTTTTGCAGTCAGCTACCACACAATCCCCGCCCATGTTTCTTAGTAACGCCGATGAAACAGACGAAAACTGAAAAGAAAAAAGCATGTGTCGATAAACGATCTGCACACAATTTGAGGCAAAGTCGTGATCCGACATGAAGGCAATCATGTATATATTACACAAATGTATATATCTCTATATATATCTATTTATATATAAATATAAATATATATACATTTGTGTAATATATACATGATTGCCTTCATGTCGGATCACGACTTTGCCTCAAATTGTGTGCAGATCGTTTATCGATACATGCTTTTTTCTTTTTAGTTCTCGTCTGTTTCCTCGGCGTTACTAAGAAAAATGGGCGGGGATTGTGTGGTGTGCTGACTGCAAAAGCACAAACATCCGATCAAAAAATCAGTAGAACCACTCGCTATCGAAGCGACCCAAAAAATATCTTTCACAAGTATGTACATATAACCTAGGATGAAAGAGATATATATATATAAAACAACTTGATTGTTCTATCCTAGGAAGCTTAGAACGCAAGTGGCTACAGTTATCTCTTTATATGTATATAATATAGCAAATATTAATAATTATACGGCTTAGATATACATTATGAATATTTGCTATATACAAACGGCCAATTTTATTGTAGAAAAGAATTTCCGAATATTTTTATGGTTGGATATATTCTTCGTGTTTGTATTGTCATTTATTTGGAAACTTGTCGACACATTACCTCACAAATATGATACGAAATTATTAAAAAATATATTAATGAAATATTTGGTAAAACCTGCGATTCCCATACAGCACATGATATTCGGAGAACGTTCTAAGAATGTTCTAGATTCTAGAATATTCTAAAACATTCTTAGAACGTTCCCCGAATATCATGTGCTGTATGGGTTGTAATCACAAAATTATGCATTTGTTTACAATGATAATTTTATGTATATAATATTATGCGATATAAACACAATTTGTGTGTGTGTATTACTGCATATTGATGTATATTGTATGGAATGTTATTTAAATAGCCGTTATAAATATATGAATTTATTAAAATTGATCAGGAGGTAAGATTTATTCAAGTGTCGAGGTAATAGCAATATTAATCTTTTGAAAGGCATGTTTGTTTTTGTGTCCTTGTATAATATAAATTCGTATTATAGGTAATTTGAATTGTACGCACGTAAATCTTTTTGTATTTCTTGTATTCTGATATCACGGTTGTTTTTAATGAAATAGAGAAGACACAACGTAATTAGATGTAGAATTCGGTAAAAACTAATGCAATTTAGAAATCGTACGCACGCGCGTAGTATTGTTGTAAAAATTTTATGTACAAATCGAATTTGTTGCCTGTACAAAGAATTAATATTTTTGTATTTAATATTATATTTGGCGCGTGTTCAGAAAAGAATATTATCTCAACAACATTTTGCTTATACTGAAAAATATTGAGTAATAATACGACAGTCATAAATTAAAAATAAGTCACGAACATGGTATTGTCATCAGACACTGGACGTTTACATAAAATCTTTAGGGAAGCGAGTGCGCTTGCATGATGACACAACTGAAGATTGATCGCTAACAGAAAGATAAAATGTTTAACAGCGAGCCACTCATTTCTAATTTATGTTTCTAAGCGAGATTATTCGGTTGTGTAAAATATTTTGTGCATAAATTATAAATTTCATCAAACACATATGTGTATACTATATTACATGTGTACAGAATTTATTCCGTCAAATAAAGAAAATTGTGGCAGTTATGGCGCAGAGAAGTGTGCTCTATTCTTATAGTGACCCATAGATCGTATCTTACTACGATTATCTCTATACAATATAAGTATATACAAGATCATTGCATGGGATCTAACCATAGCGCGGGACGGGACTAATTAAAATTGTGCAAATCTGCGTTACCCACTTAGCAAAATGTGGACATTGGCTACGTAGTTCAATGTCCATGTTTTCAATGTCCACAGAGGGCGTATCGCATCCAATCACGAAAAGCGGAAATGTCCCTATAGATTTCCCTACGTCCCCCACCTCTCACAGCCAATCGTGTATTCGCGCGAGACGCGTCTGCGCATACCCGACCGGATTCAAATCGTTTGAAAGCCAACAGTTATTCCACACGCGTCCCGTTCGCGATCTCTCCCGCGTCTCCCTCGTCGGTTTTCCCGATCTCGTTTGGAAGCATGGCCGAGTTCCAGACGCCGCCGAGAGTGAGGTGCAAGCGGGCGACGGACAGGGCCGAGCTGAACACGCCGATAAAGATACCGGCCTCGCCTTTCCTGCAGAAGATAGGCTATGGCACCGGTACGTGATCCGCGAACGTCATTTTCCGTCCAAATTGCAAACCGTGCACGCAGGTGCGAGAGAGACTTCGATTAGTCCAGGGAGTCAATTCTGTACACAAATCTTACACCACAGTGAAAATTCTAAAAGTCAACTGCTTTGTCTCTTCCTAACTCTAAAGCCGTATCTACAATGTGCTCTCCGCGTCTGGAAGCATTTCATCTTGTAGTCAATAAATACGTTTCAAAAATTGGTGTACGTTGATTAATTGTAAGCTGAACATTGCATAATCGTGGATTGTCGACAAACTTTCCGAGCGTTTCGATTTGTTTGTATAGAATAGAATGTTTCTAGATGCAGAAGGCACACTGTAGATTAGGTTTAATCTGCTCTTTAGGAAGAGACAAAACTGTTCACTTTTAGCACTTTCACTATGTTGCAGGATACAGAATTGACCCCGAGTCGACGATTGCCTCGGGGAAGAAAATCAGAGATGAGCTATTTAGATATTTCAAGAAACTCTGTGTCGGGTTTCTCTCCGCTTAATCAGATTTTGGTCGGAGTAACTCTTCAGCGCGATTGTTTGTATTTCTTTAGTTGCAATTGTGTTATTGAGTCTGCGGAATCGTATTTTATTTCCACGCCTTTTGCCAGGAATCGCGGTGTACATGTTGGAGAGGTCGCCTAAAGTGGGCTCTGTACGCTCGCCGTGGGCGGTGAAGAAATGGGTGAAGGGAAGGAGCAACGAGACGAACGACGGACGCCTTCGGTTGGAAGCCGACGTCCTGCGACAGCTGAATCACCCCAACATCGTCGGCTTCAGAGCGTTCACCAAGGGCGCGGATGGGAAGCCTTGCCTGGCCATGGAAGCGTTGGATATGTCACTTGGTATATACAAAGTTTGCTGGCATCTTTTTAAAGATACATTCGTATTGACGCTAATGTCGTAAATCAGGCGACAAGATCGAGGACAGGCGGGAGGCCCTGGTGGACGAGCCGTTCCCGGCTAAGGACATCTTGAAAGTGGGCTTCGAAGTCGCAAAGGGCCTCGAGTATCTGCACCACAGCGCGCACGTATTACACGGGGATATAAAGAGTTGGAACGTCCTGGTGTCCCACGGCTTCGACGTGGTGAAGCTGTGCGACTTCGGTAGTTCTCTACCCCTGACGGAATCTCTGGAAATGGACACGTCGAAGGGCAACTTTTATTACTTTGGAACGCCGTGTTGGAATCCCCCCGAGATTGTATCAGGTGCGTCCGCTTGTTCAACCGCGCCGTGACAACCCTTGGCTCTTCGAAATGTTACACGTCGAGCCTACGTAATCTTTGGGATCGTTATCGTTTGATTTCCACGCTAATCTTTCGTTTGTGGTGCTCGAAACTATGACTTTTATGAAAGTAAGTTTGTCTTCTTGCAGAGGACGGACCGGTGACGAGTGCTGCTGATATGTGGACGTACGGCCTTGTCCTTTGGGAAATGATAGCGCTATCGACACCCCACTACGAAGATTCTGACGAGAGTGAATCTTCCTTCGACGAGTCGAACGTGTCAGAAAGCACGAGAGATAACCAGCTTGATGAATCTGATATTAGCATGGACGAGAGTATAACTTTTCTCAAGGAGATAATGCCGCGTAAAAGTAGCAAATATGGTAAATGGTCGCTGTAATTTGAAACAGCCTCGTTAATTATATATAACTCAGGGTTTGGAAGTAACTCATTACTTGTAACGAAGTTATAGCTAATTTTTTTTGGTAACTCTAACTTCGTTACTTTCTGTAACTTGACCCATTGTCAGTTATATTAACAGTTACTTTACGCATATTTTAAACTTCCATAGATGCATTAGATCTTGCATGTGCGCTTTACAATTCAAGTGCAGATTTAATGTGTTTATGTTTATTGTAAGAAAGTAATTGCACCGTAACGATTCGTTACTTTTTGAGTGACTGTAAGTAACGCGTTACTTTTCAGAATTGGTAACTTGTAACTGTAACTGTAATTAGATACTTTTATAAAGTAACGCCCAACTCTGATATAACTTTGTTTGAAGTAAATTGGAATGAATTAAATTAATAATGTGAAAATATGATTTTTTTTTTAGGCACACGTCCAGCTTTGCCTGCTATCGACTTGGGCAAAGAGTATGAAAAGATACTTGAAATATTCTTCATATGTACCACAAATTATAAATTGAGACCTAGCGCAAAAGCGTTGGTGAACTATTACGAAAGGTATGCAAATATCGATGAAAAATAATTATATAGTTCATGGTATACGTTTATTTATAATTAACATTACTATTAAAACATTTTATATAAACTACTTTCTCAAGATATCTCGTATAACTTCTACAACGATGCAATGATAAATAAAAGAAATATTATCACTATCACGCATACGATAATGCCAATCTTAATTTTCCGCTGTAAAAGCAATCAGCCATTGTAATATCGTCCGTCCAAAAAGCGAAATAGTTAAATATGTAGGTATAATTTACCTTTCTGTATCTATGATGTCTGTCTTCTGATTTTCTGATTTGACGGCGTCCGCCGTCGACGGTAGCCGTGGTTTTGTTAGCAAAATGTTCTATGTTGTTAATTTGTTCCCCCTACAAAAAGATTCTAAATGTCGTCTCTCCTAAGTTGCAGTTTTAGTGGTGCTACGCAATTCATGGGTTATTTTTACTACTGTTTTACCTGTGTCTCGACTAGGAATGCTATTTCCATAAATAAATCTCTGATCTCGGTGAGAGATTTTTCCAATTTTAAGACGTCGTTATGTCTGCTCTTTATGTCTGATAATTGTTGCCTTGCTGTCCTGCTGTCTACTAAAATCTGCGGGCAATTAAATTATTTCACGTAGAAAAAGATTTGTGACAAATCCTATTGTAGTGACAAATTCATATTTACATTGTCGACAAATAAGCTAGTTTCTTGGGCATCAAGCATATGGTCCAGTTCCACGCTTGTAACCTGCCGCCTTACTGTTCAACAAGTAGTTTACTGAGGGTCGGCTTTTCGAACCTCTTGATGAGCTAAGTAATAGTTTAATTATATGTCTGTCTTTGTCTAACTTGAAGGAAAAGATACACATATGATTTAACTATTAGTTAACATACCAAGAGGTTGGAACAGTCTGCCCTGAGTAAGGCATACATAAATGATTGTAAAGGACATTTCAATTAATACATTATAATTTAAGTATACAATGATTATAGTAATTACAACGATTATAGTAAAACAAGGATTAAAACGGGATTAACTTGTAAAGATAAAAATGCTGCGAAAGACAAGGTTTAATAATCTTTTCTTATCGAGTATGATTTCTGGCGAGTACGCACGTAGTGAACGTTGCTGCTGCAAGAGCAGCAGACGTTTATCGTGATATTTCAGCAACGAGGCATTGTAATCCTCCATGATCTCAGAAAATGATTGCATCATAGTCATGTATTGCAACTGCCTGATCCTCTGGTATACAGGTCCCTCTTGCTCTTCAGTCGAATCATCATCGACGGTGGTACCGTTTCCCAGATCTACGAAGGCTGCACAAGCAGAATTAATTTAGAACATCGAATGTTGCGCGGATGAATCTAAATGAATGGCCTAGCGATTGAGGTTTTACAGGTATCTACG